TTTTTTTCCCAAAACCCCTCCTTACGGCTATAGCTGGAGTATAGAGCTATCGAATGGCATAAAATTCAATGAGTTAGCTCCTCACCAAAAAAACTAGATAGGTTTTTGGCGGAGGGGTCTCATTTTTTCTCACGGGTTTTCTATCGCGAGCAGCGCCTCTCACGATCAGCATGCTCTGGCAAATCCGAATATGTGTCTTTTATCGAAAAAAAAATTTTGCTAAAATTTTGCTTTGCGTGCACTTACAACCTAATATATCTCATTTTTCTCTTCGTAATGATACAAATAAAACATTAACAATACGACGAAATAACTACGGTGTACCAAAAAACATTGTTATTCTTATTGTTTTCGACGGAATATTTTCTTTTGGTTCATTTGTTTTTTCGTTATTCTACATTGTTAAAAAAGTCTGGGCTTATGTACGTCCTCGCCAAAGACATTATATTTTAAATAACATTGGATTGTTCTCTTTATGTGATAATGGTTAAATTGCTGTTCGAATATTTTTTATTAATACCTTTTTCTTATTCTCAGATTGTAGAGCAATATTTTGAATACATGTACTGTACTTCGAAAATCCATTCTGCGAGTGTGTGTCGCTTAAATTTGGACAAGGTAAAGTTGCGTTGATTGTGGCGACTCTGGTGACATTTTGAAAGACTTGACATAGAATTCAAATCTCTTCGCTGTCGGCATGTTTATCCAATTCCTCATCGATCCTGAAAGTCCCAACTTTCTATCTATAGCGGATCAAACGGTGGTGGTGAGTGGTTAAACACACTTTAGATGCCATTGTCTTATCTTCTGTCCCTCCGACAAGAGCTAGTAATGGTGAACGCATCTAAAGATTAAAGACACCTATCTAAAGATAAGGCTCACATTCTTAATGATTATTTTGCATCTATATGTACGAGGTCGTCTGAAGAAGCTAATGAAACACCTAAGCAAATTAAACGGAGTAAAATGAAAATGTCAGTTTTTTTAGTCTCTGAGCCGGAAGTACTTGAGTTGTTGAATAAATGAGACTCTCTCAAAGCGTCATCACCAGGTGTATCTCCACGAATATTGAAAGAAGCTTCGTGGTTCATCTCAAGTATTTTATCGCATGTTTTTAACAAATCACTCGCCACAGGACAGTTTCCATCATTATGAAAAACCGGATACTTGACTTCTTTGTTCAAATCAGATGATCATAATGATCCCACTAATTATCGCCCAATTACTTCCGAATTTATTCAAACTACTTTTTGTCAAAACTAACTTTTATCAAACTACCTCCGATTTTATCAAAAGTGTTGGAAAGATTAATTTATAAAAGGTTATATGCATATTTGGTTGGTAATAAGCTAATAAACTAAAATCAATCCAGTTTTGAACATAAAGATTCTTGTGTGAGTCAACTTCTTTCCGTTGTTCATAATATTTACTCTGCAATCGCTAGAAAAGAATGCTTCTTTGCTGTTTTTCTGGATTTCTGCAACGCGTTTGACTGTGGCTGGTACAGAGGTCTTCTTTCTAAACTTGAAGCTAATGTTATTCCAAGTTCATTATTAGAATGGTTTATGACTTATTTGTTCGATAGAGAGATTATCACAATGATTGATATGCATCTAAAGGTGTAATAGATCGTGGTGTTCCTCAAGGGTCTGTTCTTGGGCCGTTGTTGTTCTTAGTATATATCGATGATTTGTGCAACGGTATTATGAGTGCTATTAAACTATTTGCAGATGATGTTTCATTAAGGAAAGATGAAAATCATATAAGCAATGTAAAATGATAACAAATACCATTATTTAATGCTTTAAGTACCCCGTTATTTCGAAGGTCTCTTTTTAAGGTTCCTTTTTAATTTTCTTTTTTATCTTAATTTTGCTTTTAACAAACATCGTAAACGGCTTTGTGTACAGATTCAGTAATTCGAACGTACAACTAGACTTTTGACGGTAAATAGTTACTACATTGAAAGATTTTAAATATAGTCATTAATATAGTCAGTCTTTAACTTGTAGTTTCTTTCATCAGCGTCATTGCAGGAAAAGGAAATGATGAAATTTATATTTGCTGCTTCATATCAAGCCATTAGCGACAAATGAATATCAAAATATTTTGTATTATGAATAATATATGTCATTTTCAATATACTAGAACAAGAAGGTTTGAATAACTTCCTATCCGAAACAATACTTTTACCGTCTACTAAAAACTATATCAAAATGAGAATAATCTAATTAGAGACGGATTTAATATTGGTTCAAATGAGGATTTCAACTGATTTGTATTGAAACATGTACTTGATCGCTACAAGATGCAAAGATAGACTTTGAATCTTATAGCACAAAAGTTGTTTTACAGAGAAATTTCTTTTTGATTGTCGACTAATGCATTTGGCTCTTTTTGTGCTTGTTGACGACGTAGTGGGGATCGAATTAGACCAGTAAGTACACTTCCAATGGCTAGGGCTATACATAACACAATATTTGATATGAAGACTTTTTCACGTTTAAAAATTAAATATTCTTGTAATTTCGTCATGGACAGACCACACACCTAAATATTAAAATGTTAAATGTTACAGGACATAAAATATTTAAAGCTGAAATTACTTGTGCAGCCACATTGAGTAAACCACCAGAAACAGCTTCATTTTCTGGATAAGTTATTTCAACGCCGTATTCAAATCCGACTGGAAGGTAACCTGTCATAAAAAAACTATAAAAAAGCACGCAGAAAATATTAGAGTTGTTCGAAAATACTACAAAGATTTTAGCTCTTACCCAAGTACAATCGAGGTAAAAAATGCGACATACTTATGCAGTTGAATCGTAAGAATGAATAATAACATGGACAAAAATGAAAATAAATAAACAATAAATGTCACCATTCTACAATGAATGAATTAAGACTTTGTGTCATTTCTATTTTTTCTTCTTTTTCAGTAAGACATCTTACTTGTAGGCTTTAGTTTTGTCCAAGATAAATCCACCCGCCACAGAACCGACTATTCCACCTACAATCAACAGCATACCAATTATGCCTGCATAACGACTCGCCGATTCAGTTTGTTTCTAAAATACAAAATATAATTGTCACAGTATCTAGTTGTGATGAACTTGTTGAATCTCAAGTTGAAATTATTTAAAAGTGTGCGTAATTTGGGAAGTAATGACTAAATTTCATACAAGAAAACTGAGATATATATACTGACTAAGGAGAGTGTACGAGATAAAAGAGAAAATACAGAACACAGGAGACTATGTCTATTTATCTATCTAAAAAAAGAAACTATAAATATGATTTCACTCGAATAATTGGAAAACGAGAAAACACGATTTTTGAAAAGAAAAGACAAGGTGTGATTGACAGAAATCAATTCGATTGCTAGAAATCAATTTATACGAATTTAATACTGAATAAACAAGAATAAAAATTTCAATAATAATGTTTTGGTTTCCTTTTTATAGATGAGTAATCTAAACTGTTCTCTTAAAAATTGGAAAAATTAACAAACCTTTATTCCTCTTCTCCTGCGCTAAACCGTATAGCACAACAGAAACAAGTAATAGTATTTTATCATTTGAAAGTAATTTGAATGAGTTTTGAATGCCTGACGAGTTTTTTCGCTGCTTATTTAAAATCGGGCAAAATGGATACTTTTATTGAAATGATTATTTTCCTAACAAGGGAATCTCGCCAGCTACTCCCTCGTTTTCCTAATGAAAAATATAGTAGGTTATAGACAACAGCTCATGCTGATTCCGAATATGATAGCTGTTTTCCCGCATAGGCCTTTCCTAGTCGATTGAAAACTGGTTCTCCAGAAACCTCAAAAAATCTCAAAAACTTTTTCGAAATAAGTTATAATTGTAGCCAGCGAAATTCTGATCAAAATGAGACTTCTCCCGGCTCTGCATGCCCTTTCCTTGCAAGTTATAGAATTTACAAAAAAAGTTCGAAATTCCTTTTTCTGTAGGTCTGAGATGGACAATGAGCCTTTAGGGCTTCTTTTGTAAACTTTATAACTTTGCAAAGAAAGGTCATGTAGAACTGGGAGATATCTCATTTTGACCAGAATTTCGCGGGCTGCAATCATGACTTCTCTAGAAAGAGTTTTCGAGGTTTCTGGAAAGCCAGTTTTCCAGAAATCGGCTAGGAGAGACCTATGCGGGAAAAGGGCTATCATATTCGGAATCAGTATGGGCTATTGCCTATAACCTAGTACATTTCATTAAAATAAAGGGGGGGGGGGCAGTTGGCGAGATTCCCGCGTAAGTGTTTTGAGTATTTTTCTGAAAAGAACATTAACACTAACCTCAACAGGGACATTAGACTGTGATGCTTATGGTTTCATTTTTATCCCAGATGATCGAATATTAATCGGAGCACAAAATCCTTTGCTACATCTAGACTAGCTTAAAACTAGGGCCGATGCTTCAGCACAATTTTAAAATGCACGATTTAGACCATCCATCTGTGTAAGAAAAAGGCAAAACATTACCAGTAAAACTTTGGAAATTCATTCTATTTTGTAATAGCCCGCAGTGCAGAGTTAGATATAATTGAGTCAACTGTATTACTTTGAAATACGACAAATAAATCGGATTAAGCAATGTTGATACTGAGTAAAATGCACCGGTATTCAAGCCATAAGATAACAGTAATAAAAGAAACCATTTATTTATCAGTAAACGTTTCAATGCTTGACCATAATTTTGTTGAACTGTTTGTAATGCATAAGCTTGCGCTCGACTCGGTGGTGTAGGTGGTACACGTCTAAAAACTAAATTAAAACAACTAACAGCTTAAATCAAGTACACTTTTTGAAAAAGCAATCATCAATACATATGACCATGGCAATAAAAACAATGGTACAAACGGTTGCAACAGAATAATATAATATGCGTAGCTGTTGACCAATTAGATTTAAATCATTAACGTCAGATATAAATGATGAAGGAATTAGCGAGCCTAATGCGACGCCAACCTGAGACAGAATAAAATAAATCATATAAAAGCAGTTACTTCTAAGAAAACAATACAAAATCTTACGGCTTACTTGATTGCCAAATACGGCTATAGCGGTGACTGTCGACACTGAATCTGGTCCAAACCATGAAGCAGCCAAGTACGGTGGAATACCTACATGCAGAGCTCTTTTTAAATCAGTATAAGTAATTGTTATTTGTTACCCAATGTAAATGATTGAGCAGCAGCACATATAAATTGTCCTACAAATGTAACCCACCATCTTGATGGGTTTACACTTGCACATTTTACGATAGCTCCGAGTGCATTTAAAAAGGCACCTATTGAACATGTTATTTTCAATCCTTTTCGATCTAATAGCCACATAGCTGGAAAAACCAGCGGTATATAGGTAACCATGTAAATTAGTGACGTCCATGTAACCATATCATTCGCCTTATGTGGTTCAATTGGTAAACTTTCATTATAATAACGAACAATTATGTTTTGTATAATAACATATTCTATCCATTGAAAACCATTTGTCAATGAACATAAACAAAATATAGCCAATATTAAAAAACGACGTGGGTATAAACGATAAATAACCGGGGTATTATCGGTGATTGCTATTGATTTTGTTACTGGTACACTTCCATTAACAAACTCAACACCGTTTATATTTGTTACATCTCTAATATCGGGGCTAGAGATCATAATTAATTTCATTGACAATCCTTTTAATCTACAACCAGAACAAACAGAATCAATTAATTTACTGGTTCTTTTTACCACTCTTTGATATACTCATAATTCTTAAAACGAGTCTCAATTTTCAGGTTAAACAATCTTATTATTCTTGTCTTTTAGAAAAAAAGTGAATATATATAGTGTGATGGCAAAAGTAAATATTCGTCATTCATTTTATGAGTTAATAATGAGAGATAAGATTTATGTAAAATATATTGTGGCATTTCTTTTTTTCTTTTTGAATGTTATTATCACACAGTGGGCAACCATATGGAAATTAGGCGAAAAAACGAAAGTGAGATTTTTGGAAATTCAGATAATGTCACATAGATAGTATTCAATGGCCGATTTAGTGGTGAAAAAATTTTGATCCACATGCTTATGATGGCGAAGA